TTGAAAATGACATCATTCCCACTATCATTCATCTCATCTTATTATTTTATTATTTTTCTCTCTCTCCACTACCAACTTTTATTATTTTTTATTATTTTTCTTTCTCTCTCTTTTCACACATTTTTTATTATTTTTTACTCATCTTCTACTATTCATCTCTTCTACTACTTTTACTCTTATTTTTTTTTTCTTTTTCTTTCTTTCCACACAATATATAGGTACTAAATTACAACAACATTGGTATTGTCCTACTACATTATATGTATAATTTTTGTAAACAAATATTTACGGTATATATTCATTTTCGTTCATAAGTCGGTATTAAATGACAATATATAAGTACTGAGTTACTAAAACCAAAAATTCTATGGAGCTAACAGATTGTTTTCTTATGGAGCCATCTATCGATTAATATATTGACACATGTCCAAATTGTAGTTATTGTATGACACATGTCAATACACTATTGGTGAATAAATGTGGATTGCTCCATAAACCGAGTCATCCGATGGCTCCATAGCAAAACTGAAATAAAACACCGGTATTGTCCTATTCGAAAATAGGTATCAGTTTTGTAACTCATTAAAACAAACTATTATGAATCTAGTGTGATGCAGGGGTAATAGATATTCATTAATATTTATAAATTAATTTTTTTCACTAAATAATATGAAATCAATATGTAATACTACCCTTATAATAATTTATTTAAAATGTTATATGAAATTTAAATTTGTACAAAATTATATAAATATGTGTATTTAAAATTATTACACAACTCGTATGATGTACATAACTGTTAATAAGTTACATTATTTCATTTCAAAATAAGTGTCATTTTAAAATATTTATTCAAAATTCAACTTGCCCGTAAGCACAATGGCCCCGCTGCCTCATCTGTCATATAGGTACACTGTGGTTCCATAAAATAAATATTTTGATAAAATTTTTATCATATATTTAAAAATATATATACATATTAAGTATAATATTAAAACTTATATCTTTTCATTAATTAATATAAATTTATTTTTGTATAAACTATCCCAATAAAAAAAATATATCACTAATCTTTATTTCAAAAGATGTATCAAAGATTAAATTTTATTAAAAAAATATTTATTCAAAGGTGTGTCTAATTTTCAAGAGGAATATATATCAACTACTATGATACCCGTTTACTACACAAGTAGTTAAATATATAAATATTTTTACTATAGGAAAATTAAAATAATTTACATTTTATTTTTAAAATTATGTATCATGAATATACAAAAAGAGTTAATAACTAAAAAAAAGTAACTAATTTAAAATAGAGCCCATATTTTCGTACTTAATTTTCTTATTTTATTTAAAATATATGAAAAAGAGTATTAAAATGATTATTTTATGGTGTAGTAATGAATTAAATTTTATTATATTACAAAATAATTTATATTGTATCTATATTTTTTATTTTTATTTTTAAATTTAGATTTCTTATAATGATACATATAACTATTTTTTATTTTATATATGCAATATGAATGTCAAAATGAAAATGATTTAAATATGATTATTTTAAGACATAATATACAAAAAAAATAAAATACAAATAAAAATTTATAAAGATGTAAAAATAAAAAGAATACATATTTATAACAATTGTTAGAAGAATTCAATTAAAAAAAAGTAAAAGTAGTATATGGTAACTTAAGACAAAATAAAACCTAAATTAGTTTATGGTAATTTCAAGCCTAAAACATGTACATGCGTCAATACAAAGTATTTAATTATGTCAAATAAAATTCTGAAGCATACGAGCCTACCACTTAGGCTTGGCGCATTCGAAAATTATATATAGGGGCAATATATAAAAATTATCATCAATATCTTATGACAAGTTATTATAGAAATATTATAAAAATTGAGAATCATATCTCCTTAACAAATCAACTTAAAATTCGACTTTCATACTCATACAAAATAAAATTCATACCACTTATTTAATTTTCAAAATTAAATACACTTATATCCATACCAAATGAAATTCACACCATTTAAATTGGAACATTTCATGCCAAAGTAAAATCACACACATTTTCTTCATCACAATACTCAACTATTATCTTATTCCAAAATTTATTTTCATATAATATTATTAAAATAAATTATTAAATTAACCACCCAATTTTATTATTATATTTTGATATTTCTAACAAACAAAATCTATACTCTAATAGCTTAAGCAACATGAATTTCTATTTGCACTATGTATTATAAGAATCGAAACGCTAGAATTACGTTATAATCATTTTAAAATACTAAAAAGAACACAGTTTTAATATAAATGTTCGTATAAATTAGTACCAGTTTCTATTCAATATATAGATGAGTATAAATTAGTACAGTTTAGTTAATTATGAAAGTACTCATATGAAAGTCGACATATGTTTATATGGATTATGGTCGTATTAAATAAAGTTGACATATTTTTATATGAATTACGTTAATTTGTTCAATTTTAAGGAAGTTATGTTTTTAAATTTTAAATTGATACCATTATTCATAATAGTATCACTTTTCTTCTAAACAGTGCCTCTTTTTAATCAATTAGTACCTACTTTGGTCAACGAAAATGTTAACCAAAATTGAAGTAAATCTATTTTTTGTTCTTTCTACATAGTTGGTACCAATTGATCAAGAACTGGTACTGCATAGAAGAAAATGTGGTACTATTATCGGTAAAATTGGTACCAATTTATGAAATTCGTTTTCTTTTATGTTCGTATAAGTTGTTACTGAAGGCCCGATATCTGGTACTAGAAC